CACACGAAAACGCGATTTCACTATCAAATCTCTGTAAGTGCTCTTTCCTGATGTGGAAATTACAAGGGGTCATTCAAGGACGTGTTACCATGTTTTTGGCAGAGCCAAACAATGCCTGGGGCAAAAGTTGTATCATGCCATTCGCGTGGCAATCATAGGCGAGCAGCGCATTAGGCCCATTCCCAGATGCCCGGCTTTTGATTCGTAACACGACAAACTTTAAGGCCGAACCCTTCAGCTGACCTGACCAGCACGTAATCCGTTTCTGCGAGGTTGAAGCATCAGGGATGTAGGCAGATCAATTAAAGACATACGGAGGCAAAGGGTGAACATCTTTATCATGAGGGTGGCTGCACGGATCTGAGCTTGCCCATGCAATGATGGGTGTTTTCCTATTGAAACATGATTTTAACATATCATTTCGAAGTCCATTCTGGCCCATGCTGGTGACTGTCGCCAGCCATGACGGACGCTGCAGGATCCCATTAGCATTTGGTATGGAAGTGAGCTTTGGCCACACGAGCTCCAGGTATGCATCGTCTTCTGCAAACATTATCTCAAGCGGAGAGGCGCATCTCAATCCAAGTTTGACTGATGTCATGTGGAAAGCCTTGTCCCTTGCTGAGGCATACGTTTATTGCAACTTGTCTTGCGTTGGATTGATGAGCACAGATGCTTCACGCATCTTCGCGCATTTCATCTCTTGACGTTTGCCAACCTGAGCTGAGGCAACCCTTTCGCCTCGGAGCCGTTCAAACCTGGTGGCTTCCGGGCAAGGATGTTAAGTTAGTTGCACTAGTTCGTGATATTCACAGTGTGAGCACCCGTTGTTAATGCCATTCACTTTGAAACCTATGTCCAAGCTGCTGTTGTCCTAGCAATGTCATCAAAAGCAACTTGCATATCGTGCTTTCACGACATGGCTTACGGGAGCTGTCCCTAGCTCGTAGTTGCAGCCTGCATGCTCGTGGGAAGCTCGGGCTGTGCAGCCTGGACCGCAGCATTGAAGTATAAGACATCGAAGGCCACCCCACCAATTTATTACAACACCATTGCAGTATCCGCTATTCATCAGCAGGCGCATTTATTTGAAATTTCAGAATCTTTCTGCCTCTGTGCCTTGTCCGACGTGCGGCAAGGGAATGAACATGAATTGCAATGCTGAAGTATTCCCGAGAGACGTGACGCCAGCATCACACATGCAGAGCAAGTCGGTGAATCAGCGTGAAACGGGTGTCATTGTTATACTTCATGTGCTCCGAAACAGTGTATGCTACATACAGCCAACAAAGCGTCAAAGTCGTTGAAACTCATTGTCGTCAGCATGCGCCTGACATTCAGACCTCGACCATCATGAGAATGCTGGGTCCCCGTGCAGCGTGGAACCCTAAACCCAAACCCCAAACCCGAACCTCAAGATGAGAACCAAAACAGGCATGACTCTAAGACCATGTCACTTGCACTCTCCACACACTGGTGCCTTTTCGTTTCCGCAATGACTTCGTGGTGCGGGCCCTGATCCGTTCATGGATCCAGAGGGTGTAGAGCAGAGTAAACTCGCCTGAAAACTGACGTGTCTTTGTGTTGCTGGTCGTTTTGTGAGCTTTGCTGCCGTCGTGGAACAAAGACATATTGCTAATCACAAAGGTGATGGGGTGATGCAAGCTCTGGTTCTTCGCGGTAGCTCATTGCCTACGGAGAAACTGTTGTGAACCCTGCCGCAGGGCAGTCGTGCATCCACACCATGTGTGTACATGACTCGCAAAGTGTGGCAATTAAGGAGGAAGAGTGGTGTTGGCAGGCTTTGGCGGAGGAATACTTGCAATTCCGGCTTGTAGAAGTTCAGCCAATAGCATGACAGCCTTTCTGTTTTTATACCCACACTGCAAACACAAGCGACTCCGCGCCCAACGCCCAACAGCCCAGACCCCAAATGAAAAAAAGGCAAAATCCTGAAGCCAGGCTTGGATCTCCTACGACGGCTTGAATTCCCAAACATCAGCCTCCAAACTGTGAAGCTCTCAAACGTTAAGCCTCAGTGTGCTAGTCAATGACCCCCAAAGCCTGAAAAGCCTGCATGCCTAACGTGCTTAAACTTGATGTTAAACCCTGAACCTTGCTTGAACCCAAAAAACCTGTCGGAAGCCAATAACCCCGTCTCCTAAGACCTTGAGCCCCAAACGCCAGACCCCCAAGCATCCCCCAAATGCAAAAACCTGGAAGCTATACACCCCGTGCACAGTGTCCCCAAAACAAGTAGACTTCCAAAGCCTCAAGCAGTGTTGTCAAATTCCGAAAACTGAATTGTAAAAAAACTCAAACGAAGTTTGCGAATTCAAGTTCAAGCCTTTCCTTCATTATTAAACTTTGTAGCCTTCAACTCCAAACGCCTATACAGAACGCGCAAATCACAAAAGACACTCCAAACCCTCAAACCTTCGGCACAAAGCTCTGAACATCAAAGCGTCCCCGACCCCTAAACTCTTGATCTAGGGGCCCGAAGCGCTGAACCCTAAGTCCAATGCTTCAAATGTAAGAAGAGGTCGCTAAAATCTTGAATCGCGCAGCTGCAGCCCAACAGGCTCAAGTTTCGAGATGCTGAATGCACCTCCACGCTAAATTCCCAAACCGTACCATACACACTCAAGATCTTTATCTTGGAGCCAAGGCCTTCGACTCCGAGGCCAGTGAACCAAACCCTTGAAACTTTAAACCTGGCAAGCCCAAACCGAGAAAATCTCAGCCCAACTTCCTCCCTAAACCCTGAAACCAATCTAAATCTCTCCAGACACTCTCCAACACGTGCTGAACTGTTTCCAGGTGTTTCCAGACTTCAGCCTGGACGTCCAAAACCCAAATTCTACAACCCCGCAGTCCTGAACGTTGACCTCTTTTCACTTTGGTTTGGATGATTACAGTTCAGTTGCATTGGATTCAGACAAAGAGGCCCCGGCCAGGTCTCAAACATGAAGCCGCCCTTTGCATGAAGCTGAACAAAAGCTGTTCGCATAATGATATACCATTCGCAAGGCAAATCAACTCTCTTCCTGTGATAGTTTTCAATTTTTTGTATTGCCATCTTTCAAAGACCAAGTAGATTGATTTGCTTCGGCTTGGCTCACATCCGTGGCCCATTTGATGTCATGTGATATGTCCCCTTTTTCTTCTCGACGTCGTTAAGGATCTCGTGCGCAACTAGAATCAAGGATTGGCAACTCAGGGAAGAATGCGGACATGATACTATCTGATTTTAGAGCTTTGTAACTATCGCATGGTCTCTTTCACATGTAAAGTAAAGCATCTCAGATTTTTGTTTCTCTCTGTCTCTCCTGGTCATTGCCCGCTGTCCTTGCCCGTATTCGTTGCTTGCCTACATTCTTGTGGTTTCCTGGATCCAAGAAGGCCTGAGCAAATGAAGGTGCATGTTTAGCCAGGCCAGCACCAAACATTTGGGTTTTCGTTGAATGTTTCGCGTGCTGTCCGGTTTATAGATGTCCTGGTGTGTACCGTTGATTTTGTCCGACTTGAGCTTCCGAGTTGTGAACCTTTGCCCATTCTTCATAGTATTCATTACACGCATTGCCAGCGATTCCTCCTGGATAACTGTTGTTTGTTGAGCGTTCGTGCCCAACCAGTGCGATGAATCTGACACACCCGAAGACAGTTGCAAGTGTTGCCAGCCTGTACTGCGAAGAGTTTGTGCGTGCATTGGGGCGTTTGCTCGCGGCGCAAACCGACGGTGAGACCGCCAGCGCCAACAGTTCGGGCGACCACTTTCCATCGCTTCATGAATGGCTCCGATTGCTGCTGGCGGTCCACTGTTCGCACAATCCCGTCCACAACTGTCCTAACGAGGTTTCTGAGTGGAAATTGCGCCATGCGTGTGTCAACAATCAGCAAGGCGAGCCCTCAAAGGCTGGCCACGTACATGTTGGTCGGCAAATGACACCACTTGGGCTGACACTGCGAAGTGCGGTGCCGCAGGAGCTCCAGCACGAGTCCGCCCAACATCGTTCAACCTGTCCAACTCAGGATTTGTGCTGAACTTTTGCATTGCGTTTGGCATGCGTGCAAAGCAATTTAAGCTCCTCCTAATGCACGTTGACACTGGCGAATGCTTTTGAATTGTTGGTGGAGGCTTGCGACGCGTCTGGCGCAAGCGCGTTGTTTCTGTCGCTCTTGACACGGCTCTGCTCACAGCCTTGTGCAAAATGGACGCTTGGCTTTGTTGTTAGTCGTACACGTTTTGGGATATCATCTCTGGGCTTTTCCGTAGTTGCGAATTGTGCTTGAATGTAGCTTGCTGGCATGCGAAAATCTGTCCCCTGGCCCTGAACAGTCTGTTGCCTGGTATCCAAGATGCTCGCCAAGAAGTGGGCGGCAGGAAGCCCGTGCTGACACTGACGCGTTTGCGACGCACCTGCGCGGCGGTTTGGCAACCAGTCACGATGCCTTTTTTGTCTGGCTCGACGGCGGTATGATAGTGCACGTGAAATTATGTCGCGGGCGGCTTTCCTGGCAAAATTGCAAGAGGTTGCACCAGAGTTTGAGCGTGTGTGCACCAAATGGCAACCATTGAACTAGCTGGTGCCATGGCTGATCTTTATGTATGAATCGCCTTGCAAGAACCATGACATTTGGATGATGTCCCCCAATTTTTGGACAGGCGCCCTGCCCGCCGTACATGTTGCCCGAGCGCACCATCATGTGTGGCTTTGGGGAGGCGAGAAACACAATAAATCACAGCATGTGGGGCTTTTGGTGAGGTTGCAAACACCGTAGCTAACAGCACATGGACTGCTTCAAAAGCTGCCAGCACATGACAATAGTCGGAAAGCTTCAAAGCACAGATTTGTTGTTAAAACTTGCAAAAAATGCGAAAAATATGAAAATTTTCAATCAAGCCCTATCAGGAAGTGCGTTGCGATACTTTTTTTGTATTCTGGCCTCAAGGAATACTTTCTTTTGAGTACGGAAAAAAGTATTCTGTAGCAATACCACAACATCAGTTTTTAAGGGCTCAACTCGTGGAAAAGTATTTCTAGTATGGTTTCGGAGGCCAAAAGGTCAAAAGTGAATACATTTGGGCTTGTACGGGTTTAGTACTGGTTTGGATTTGGATGGGTAAAGAACTTCAACATTTTTTCACCATCAAGGCCTTGAGGCCACATCTAGGCTCATAAAAAGTATTCCCGAAACCACAGTGTATTCTGTTTGAGAGAAAAGTATTATGTTTGCTAGTTCGCGAAAATTTTGCAATTTTGTGAGCATTTGCAGGTGTTTCTGCGAACATCTGGCGTTTGTCTGATATGCGCGAAAGTTTTCAGATTTTTTAATGAACAATTGTGATTTTTGCGATTTATTCGACAGTCTCCAGAATTTTTTCGCAAATCTAACATTTTTTTGCAAAAAGTTGATGAATAAAAATAGATTTGCAGATTTTTGCGCAAATTTGCAGATCTTTGCGAAAATCTAGCGGCGTGTGCGATAATGCGACGATTCTTTTGCAAAAAGCTGGAAACCGGTAAGGAAACTCGGCTGAGGCATTGTTGGGTGTTTGGATTTTTCCCCTCAAAATGCAGCTTGTCGAAGGCAGCGCGCATGGCTCTGCGCCGTGGTAGCCTTTTTGGCTCGTTGGATTTTTACGAAGACGCGCAAAATACGAAATCTAATCATTTTTGGATGTTTCGTGCAGCGCATCGTTGACTTAAAACCCTTTCGTGTCCCTTCGCACTGCGGGCGAGGAGCATGCCAGGGGATGGTC